CCTTAGCACTAGATAAGGCCAACGTTCTTTCTGTTTTCATCTTTTGGGAAAGATTATAGAGGATTCACACAATTGTTTCTTTAAGTATTTAGTAAGATGCACCATTTGATCCTAGACCTTGTTTGGGAATGTTGTTAATTTATAATGTAAGCCTGTTAATAGATATTGGTCATGCAGACTGTCTCTATTCTTTAACTTTTGGTAGATTGTATTTTTAAAGGAATTAGTTCATTTCATTCAAATCATCAAATCTGTGGGTATAGAATTTCCCATAATCCCTCCATATTGTTCTTTTATGTCCATATGATAACGTTCCCCTGCCCGCTTCCTTCTTATTCTGCTTAGAAGTTTAACAGTTTCATTGATTTTTTTTACCTCCTAAGAACCAACTTCTGCTTTTGATTTTTCTCTTTTGATTTTATGTTTCCAATTTCATAAATTTCTATACTGATTTATATTTATGCTTACTTTGGATATGGTGTTACATTTTAGTTTTCTAACATGGAAGCTTAGGTTATTTTTCCTTCTAACTGTCAGTATCTTAAGTGTCTCTCTTAGTATTGCTTGTACTATCCTGCAGTTTTTAGAAGTTGTGCTTTCCTTTCCATTTAGTTTGAATGATTTTTAATTTCTCTTGCGATTTTCTCATTGAACCATGTAGTTTAGAATGTGCTTGCTTTCACAGTACTCCTTGACATAACTCAGTACTGCTTAATGGGCGGTGCTTCGGGAGCGCCTCTTGTTTCTTAGATTTGTGGTTCTCTGTTTCGCTGTTTGTTCAGTTGTATTACAGCCTTTGCATGTTAATCATGCAATTGTTGCAAATCCTATTCGATAATTTCAATATCTCTGCCAAACAGGAATCTGAATCTAATGACTGTTCTGTCCCTTCAGATTGTAGTTCTGTGGCTTTGTTCCTTCGTGTTGTGGTTTTGTCCCTTCAGATTGTGGTTCTGTGGTTCTGTCCCTTCAGATTGTGGTTCTGCCTTGTGTCATGCCTTGGAGTTTTCTTCTAAAATGTAAACACAGAAAAAGAAAGATCCTTTGTCCTGTAGAGGTGAGCTGTGGGGAGGGAACACTCTGGAGCGTTCTGCTGAGCTGTGTCTCCTTCCTCTGTCTTTTTCAAGTGCCCAGTTTGGGGTCTTACTTTTATTTCCCTATTTTCACACCCTTGGGTGCTATGGTATTAGGGAGGGAGACTGGAACCAAATATTTCCCCTCCCAGGTAGATTAAATTATGGTAAAATAATTTCTCCTGAGGGCAAGCCTCGTTAAGAACAGCAAATCTTGCATATTTTAAAGAGCCCTTTTTTTTCCTGCCTGCTGGAAGCAGAAAAGGATTTCTGTCTTCACTGTGAGGTTTTATCTTCTAGGGGTAAAACTTCCTGAGGTGTGTTGGTCCCCTGTGACTGGGACTTGTGACTTGTAACTCCAGCAAACCTCAGTTACCTTTCAGGACTTTGCATTGCTTTGCTGGGTTTTGTTTTCTTTATCTAGGTATTTGTTTTACAAAGGTTCAGCCAAGTAAGTTGTGATTCTCAGCATCCACTTGACTGTCTCCAGCGTTAGCCAGTGTTTGTCTCATGTCTTTGTTTCTTTGATTTTTTGAAAATGTGTTTTTTTAACTTACTCATTCTTATACTCATCAGATGGAATACTGACTTCTCCTTATATGGCATTGGAAAACAAAAGAAGTTCCCATTTCCTATGGTTTTCCATATTATTTTTATAGTTTTGAAGTTATATTTATCTCTAACAGTTTTGAATTAATTGTTATACCTCATATGGCATATGAGTTAATACATATGATACTAATATACATATAGTATAAAATTTCTCATAGTATTTCCTTTTTCTTAGTTCATTGTAAGGTATATATATAGTTACATCTTCTCCTTCATTCTTGATACTTGCAATTGACTTCTCTTCTTATATGCTTTCCACACCTTGGTGAACTTGGCCAGAAATACATTTGTTTTATTAGTACTAGCATTGTGAGTACTCATGTGCCATGTTTCTTTTTGTTTAAGATTTATTTATTTATTTTATGTATAAGTACACTGTAGCTGTCACCAGAAGAGGGCATCGGATCCCATTACAGATGATTGTGAGCCACCATGTGGTTGCTGGGATTTGAACTCAGGACCTCTGGAAGAGCAGTCAACGTTCTTAACCATTGAGCCATCTCACCAGCCCTGCCATGTTTCTTTTAAAGCCCTTCCCTTTTACTCCATTTACACATTTAACCTTACTATTTTTTATTGTTATTCTCTTTTACAGATAAATAAACGGAGGTAGATGTATATATTAGGAAACGTGCCAACAGTCTAACAGCCAGAGTGACAGAGGATGCAGGTCAAGTTTAGATAACTCAAAGTGTTTCTCAGGTCTTCTAGCACTTGGACACCTAGTGCTTGTAGGCTCCCTAGTCTGAGCTGCACTTAGGACCCTATGGCTGGACTTAGGACCCTATCCCTCATCTCTGGTTGACCTGATCACTTGACACCCATCCACCAGTAACACTTCGTAAGCTTCCCCTTCTGCTTGGTATAAACACCTCCAGGAGTCTGGATGCAATCACTGAATGTCCGGCACCCCTCTGGCACCCTTTGAGGTAGAGGTAGCTTCAGCCACAGTCTTTAAGGCTATGGCTGGCTCTCTTCACCTGAGCCCATCCTCTCACCACTGGAGCTGTAGTTCTGCACTTCCCTTAGGCCCTCCTGGACCACGGTGCCCCTATCTGCCCTTCGCTCACCTTCCCCTCCAGCTGCCTATCCCACAGCTCCTCTAGGCCCCTGTAGATTTTCCATGCAGTTTCCTTAGGCTCCACAGAGCTCCTGTGACCCTTTCTGCTCTGACTCCACAGCTGTAGCTGCTGCCTTAGGCCCTACTGGGCTCCTCCTACCCTTCCTGCCCTGACCCTGTCCCACCACCTCCTGCAGCTGTAACTCTGCAGCTGTCTTGGGCCCTACTGGGCTATTTCTACCCTTTCTACCACTCTCACTTTGGAACTGCCCTGTATATTCCACAACTTCTCTAGGCTCTTGTGGCTTTTGCGACTCCATTACTAAACCATTCTTGTGGACGAGACTCTCTATAAGAGCTCAGCTCTTGTTCTCACCTTCTGGCTTCTGAGAAAGTTCTGGTACTAGACACCAAGACTCTTCAGCTTAGCCACCTGTGAGTTGAGTTGTGGTGACAGTCCACTGACCAATCCAGTTTGGTCCTGGTTTTGTCCTCCCTGAGTCTGAGGATGCCCTTGACTACAGGCTATAGTGACATTACACTTCTCCATAGAAATGGTATCTTTCCTACCCTCTCATTCCCTTGAGATGCCTCTTAGAAAACCTCCATTGCTCTCTTAGAAAACCTCCGTTGTGAACCACCATGTGGTTGCTGGAAATTGAACTCAGGACCTCAAAAATGACAGCTCCTATCAGAATGGCAGCACCAAGACATCTCCCGGAAGCTGCAGGATTACAGCCTTGAACCATAAAGCAGTAGAAGACCAGGGAGAACAGTTCTGGAAGAACAGTTCTCTTAACCGCTGAGTGATCTTGCCAGTCTTTCTTCCTTTTCTTAATCCTGCTAATTATACTCGGCCTTATTAACTTCTTACCTAAAGTTCTCCAAAAACAAATTAAAAGATTTCTAATTGGACCTTTAACCAGTTATAATTACAGGATTACTGACCCCTAGCTACAGAGCCAGAGGCCTACAACACCCGATTATATCCTGAGAACAATGACCAAACTTTCCCCAAGGACCTCGATGCCCTGGATTAGCAGGAAGCAGTCTGAGAATAATGCTGCCCCTTTCAAAACCACCCACCCTTTCTAAGCTCTGATTGTTTGATAATAAACAAAGGGGAAGGGAATGTAGTCCCTAAGTGGCAGCCACAAAACCTATCAAAGTGGTGTCCAGTCCCTCCTGCCCACCTCAGCCTATGACCTCAGTAAGATGGCCCTACAAGAAGTGTCAAAAATGACAGCTCCTATCAAAATGGCATCACCAGGACATCTCCTCAGCCTTCTGTCATCACCGGAGCTGTACACATCTCCTTTCCTGCCTCAGCAAGAGCTGCCCTTCAAGAGCTGTCATGGTGGACCTTTCCTGCCTTAGCCTACTGCCATCATAAGGAGCTGTCCACCCATACACCCCAGCAGCCCCACAGAGATGGTACCTGAGCAAAAGCCTTCTGCAGCTAGGAAGGACTTCCCACCCTAACCCATGGGTCTAATACAGGGAAAGGGGTTGGGCTGCCAATCCCTAAGCAAGAAACCCACCAATCCTTAAGCTTCCCACAAAAAAACCACCAATCCCTGAACTCCCCAAGCTCAGGACCCGTAAATCCTCAATCTAAAAATTTCTACCCTAAAAAGATCCACCCCTTAGAAATCCTATATAAGCACTGGCCTTTGTCCAGTTCCCTGCTGCCCACTCCTGGGAGCAGAGTGCAGCCATCCCTGGATTTGTCCCTATACACCCTGGCCCCTCCAATAAATCTCTTCCATGAGATTTTCTGCCTGGTGTGACTCTCTTGTCAGAAGAAGCCAAGAAGAAAAGAAACAATGAAGAGAAGATGAGAAGGAGCTTCCTTTCAGGGCTATGTGGTTCCTGAGTTCCCGTGTTTCAGGATGCCCTTCTACTGGGACACCGTCTCACCTCAGATATATGTGGTTCCTAGGCCACTGTTACTCAAGATGCCCTTCTACTGGGACACTGTGCCACCTCAGAGCTGTTCTGGGCCCCCATGTGTCAGGATGCCCTTCCACTGGGATACCTTTTCCCTTCAGAGCTGTATGGTTTCTAGGTTTCCAAGTCCCAGGATGCCCTTCCATTCTAGCAGGAACACTGACAGATTGTTTACACAACTTGAGTACTTCTGAGGTCTTTTCATTTACTGCCCTGGTGCTGTCCATTTTGAGTGCAAATAGGAACCCTGACTATGTATTTTCCTTTGGAAAATAAGAGCTAACATAGCTTCCTTGTCTCCTCAGGTCTGACAGTGACAGCTGTAAAAGACTCAGGAGAATGGAATCTAGAAGCTGGGGCCTTGGTGCTTGCAGATGCTGGTCTCTGCTGTATTGACGAATTTAACAGCCTTAAAGAACATGACAGGACCAGCATCCATGAAGCAATGGAGCAACAAACCATAAGTGTTGCTAAGGCTGGGTAAGCATTTCTCTTCTGTAAAGCCTGTGGAAGTGGAGAGATTAGTCTGTGTAAAAGAAAATGAGAACCTTACTGGTATACTCAGGGTTTATCAACCATCCTCAAGTTCAGAGGTTTACTTATTAGAATGTAGGCATGTATAAGGAAATGAAAGTGAATTATTTTGAAAAAGAAAGGTTAAAAGTAAAGTATAAAAGCAGACTCTCTTAACTACTTTTATATTCTGTGACGAGACACCAGCATTTAACTGGGGACTTGCTTACAACTTCCGAGGCTTAGTCTGGAACATGGCAGGGAACATGGTGCCAGGCAGTCATGGCACTGGAAAAGTAGCCAAGATCCTCCAGCAGCCGGCAGAGAAAGAGAGCAAGACTGAGCCTGGAGTGGACTTTTGAAATCTCAGAACTCTGCCCCAGTCACACACCTCCCCCGTCAGGGCCACACCTCCTAATCCTCCCTGTCAACTGGCTTATGGGAGTCATCCTCATTCAAACTACCAAGTAAACTGACTTAGCTCATCCGGGGCAATTTATGGTGCTTTTTCAACACAGGACTCTACTTACTGTTCTCTATAAAAGTTGTGTGTGTCCTCAGGGCGTCTTAAGTATGGGGATTTTGAAAGATTAATGGAGTACAATAGAGATAAATTTAGTGAAATGTTTTCTAAGATTATACCTGGAAACCATAAAGCGTTAGAAGACCAGGGAGACAGGCTTCCTTTTACTGGTCAGTAGGAAATATTATTATGATGTAAATTCTTCTGAAAGCAGTCTATAGACTCCACACTGTTCCAGGCAGGATTCTAACCACTTGATAAACTGATTAGATTTTACAAAAAAAGGGCACAGAAGCTAGACTTACCAAAGCAAGTTTGAAAAAGGATAAATATGAATACCCATATGACCCAGCTATACCTTTCTTGGGTATATATATACACATATATATACATAAACAACTCATATACATTGAAGACAGTTATATACCATACTTATTGCTGCACTACTCAGTCTTTGGAAATGGAAGTCCATCAATAGATGAATGAAGAAACCTACATATACACAGTGGAATTTTATTTAGCCATAATGAAAAATGAATTATGACATTTACAGGAAAATGAATAAAACTGGAAATCATTATGTTAAACAAAATAAGCCATTATTTTGAAGGATAAATACCACATGTTTTTACTCATGAGGGAAGGGAGGAAGAAATCTTGCAGGAGTAGAAATGAAGGGAAGAGGAATGGAAGACATGTGACATGAAAGCAGAGGGAAGACACTGGCCAGCAGGAGGGACGAGACAGGAGGGGCGTGGCAGGAGGGATGTGACCAGGCAGTGAGGGAAGGAGACAGTTAGATCAAAGTGTAATTGTTGCATATATTTGAAAATAATGAAACCCATGACTTAGTATGCTAACTTAAAAGTATTTTTAAAAGAAATTTATATAAATGAAATAAATATGCTCGAACACTTTGATATGTATTTGCAAAAAAGGACCTGTACAAACATGGTTTTCAGCAGCTTTATCTCTCATCCCTCTGAACTGCAAACAGCTGGGGCTCATTACCAGATAGTGGATACACCGTGATACCTATGTAGAATGAAATACTACTAGCCACATATGGGAAGAGTCTAGCAGACTGTAGGTACATGAACCAACATGAATAAAAGCCTTATTCAGAGTGAAAGACACCAAGACAAAATTCCATCCACATGTGTGAAATGCTAGACAAGGTACAGCTAAGGCGAGCACAGGTCAGTGTGTACAGTAATAACACAGAAACTCACATCTGTGTTCCCAAATCACTCTGCCAGGTTTCTAAGCACTTTGCTCTTCCTGACTGGTAATGGTGTGTGAATGTAGCTCACAGCTTCTCTTTGGGCATTGTTAGGAAACCCACCTAGAATAATGCTACATAAGAAGAGACTGAAAGAAGGCATGGTGCCTAGATGCTGGGAGACTTACCCACAGTTGCCTTGTTACAGTGGAAACAATGTCTCCAAAAGGAAATAGTTGAAAGAGTAATTTTCAGGTTGGATTCATGTCTGTGTAGGAGAAAAGGACTCATCTTAGAGGATTAGCACCTTTTGTTGCTAAATTGTTTCTTCTGTTATCTACTTACCAGATACATAATATGTATACACTGTTGCCTAAGAAGCAGGTTGAACACTGTGTTTAATGAGTAGAGTTCCCTATGGCTGTGGTAATAGTTACTACACAGAGTATTTGTATTATGGTTTAAAGATTAAGTTCTTCATGTCTTTATGCTTTGTCTTGACTTCCTTGAGAGGTGACACTCACCACAACTGGTATTTTAGTGATCTGGCCCTTTTGCTTTTATTTATGAATTTTACTTGCAAAGTAAGTTTGCATATTTTATTTAAAGATTTTATAGGGATTGGAGACATAGCTAAGTGGCGAAGAGCATTAGCTACTCTTCCAGAGCACCCATGTCATGGCATACAATTGCCTGCAACTCCAGTCCCAGGGTATCTCAAGCTCTTTACTGACCTCCAAGGCATCACGTACATAGGTGATGCACAGACAAACATGCAGGCAAAACATCCATATGCTTCAAATAATAATTTAAAAATGTAAACGTTGTTGTGATTTACTGCATTCAAGGTTGATAGGATCAGTGTTCTCTCACTATCTGGCTCTTAGTCACTTGCTGTCGTGTGGTGATATTGTTGGTATTCTGCTCCCTCATAACCATTACTGGATTCATAAAGACATTTATACTATTTTATTCTTAGCATGAACTTTAAAAGACTTAATTCCTAGCATTGCATAGTATGCAGTTACATAAATATTGCATATTTGATTTCTATACATTGAAAAGGCTTCTTTTTCTTTACAAACTTAGTGACAATATTTATAATCACATTATGATAACAGAGCTGGAATTACTGTGCTCTATGAATTTAGTAAAGTGTTGCAGTCTGTTTTCTCGATTGGACAGATCCACATGTTGACAAGCATCCAAGAGGTTACTGGGTTTGATTCAGAACATTGTCTTCATAGTGAGTGCATGCTGACCTGAAATTATCAATTGGGCTTAACATTTCTCATACCTTAAAATTTTAAATTTCATTTAAAAACAGAACAGTTATAGAGTATGGGTTTAATCTCTTCAACCTTGAACTTTTAGATTTCACTTTTTCCATGCAGAGAAGTGACTTGAATTAAAAACTTAAAAGAATAACAGATGTTTCCAAGAGGCCAAACACTTTTTCTCCCAAGTTATTTTTTCCTTTCAATTATCTACAAAATCCCTGCCCTTCTCATCACTCAGAAGCAACCACTATTCAACATGGACAGCAGCAATGAACAACCCTTACTTAAAATAAGGCACATTTGAATTGTAGATATATTCTAGAAAAGTCAAAATGGTTATTGTAGATAGAAAAAGTTCCTGGCTCAAAGACAATGAGTGTTAGTAGAAGGCTAATCTACTGTGGTTTTGATCTTGTGGGACAGGCTTGACTTTCTTTGGTCTCTGTAACGCTCCATGAAGTGACTGTCAAGGCCTTTCTTTTATTGTTTAGTATTTTTTGTGACTACAATATAACTATGTCATTTCCCTCTTCCCTTTCTTCCCTGCAACCCCCTCATGTACACACACACACACACACCTACCTAAATACATAAATACATGTACATGTATGTTCTTGGGTCTGTGCATGTGATATTGGATGACTAGCTGGTGTACTCCTACTCTCAGTGTTCCTTGGTTGCCTACAGTTCTTTTTCAAGGGTCGAAGTCTCAGGAACTTTTCCCCTCCCATGTTGGCATGTCTACTAGTGCTGGCTTGGGCAGGTCATATTTAGGCAGCCATGTTGGCATAGCTGCTTCTGACACCAACATTCTCCTAACTTGAAGTGTGCATACGTCAACTTCTGACTCAGTACCTGCCTTACATCAATAGACAGAAGCTATAGCTACTGAAGTATAGTATTTTATTATTAAATATGGCCACATACACATAACCTAAACTTCCCATCTCAACCAGCGTTAAGTGTGTAGCTTAGATGTGCTATGCCTTTATATTGTCGTGCGTGTCTTTGCCGTCTAACCAATGTGCTCTTGGCCTAGATGAGATAATACTTAATGACTCTTCAAAATTATTTTTAAGTGTGCATATGAAGGTATTTATAGTATTCTCTATATTCTGCACTCAGTTTAGTCTCTAAAATAGCTTCATAATAATTGTGTCAACATCACTCTCTTATAAAGAAAAATGATATTCAGACTTTCTTTGAAGTTCTTTTGTGCTTTAAAAATCAATTCTGCAAAGGTTATATATTGTTGGAGTTTGGAAAAGCAGGTTGGCAATTGCTCAGACAATCCGTGTAAGGATTTGCTTCGTTTAGAGGCTGCAGATTCTTCCATCCAGGTCAGTTGGCTCTAGCTCCACTATTTCTAGGCCTGTGCTGGGCAGAACAGCCTGGCAACCTCATGGCATTCAAGAGGCAGGGGTCCCATGGAAGGGGCTCAGGAAAAGTCATTAGCCATGGAACTTGACCTCAGGAGCCCGCTGCTTCTGACTAGGTCCCTTTCTTGTATCCTGCTTTTTAACACTGTGTAAACCTTTACTTAGTCATTCCAGAGGGCTCTACTCCAGAATGGGCTATAGAGTTCTTCCCTCTAAACTCCTTTCCAACAAGTTCTGTTATCACATCGTTTTTATTTATTTTTATTTTTATGAGCTACTGAGTTTAATGAGGGTTGCATGTATTGGTGTAGGATCAGAACAAGTCTGATAGCATTTCTACATTTGAGCATTTCAAAGTAACTGAACAATTATTTCTAATTATTTTTCTAACTATAGTTCATAAAAAGCATAGATGGTATGTTAAAATAGGTAGCAAAAGTTGATTGCATAGCATAAACAATGCAAAGAATAATTACAAAAAATAAAGTATTGATTTCCATGTTCCTATGTAGTAATATCAACTTTTTGTATTGAATGAAGCCTCAACATTACTCTCCAAACAC